ATGCATGCACCCAGATGACCACAACATGGGATACATGTACCCAGATGGCCACAACACAGGATGTGTGCACTCAAATAACCACAACATGGGATGCATGAACCCACATGACCACACTGTGGGGTACATGCACCCAGATGACCACAACATGGAATGCATGAACCCACATGACCACACCCAGCTTTTCTTTGGCTGCTGAGGATAAGAGCTCAGGTCCCCATGCTTGAGCAGCAAGTGCCCTTAGCTCCCGAAACCTAGCAAAGTGGGGGAATATTTTGGCCACGAAGAGGAGATAAGGGCTAGAGAGACAGAACCATGGGTAAAGTGCTTACTTTGAGAACACCAAGATGGATCATCAGAACTCAGGTTTTTCAAACACCAAACATGGCAGCATACATCTTTAATCCAGGACTGGAAATCCCTGGGGCTCACTGATGAGCAAGCCTAGCCTATTTGGCAAGCTCTAAGCCAGTGAGAGGCCTTGACTCAAAAAGAAAGAGAGGGGAGAAAGAAATGGGGAGAGGGAGGGAAGGAGGGAAGGAAAAAGAAGGAAGGTGTATGCTATATGAAGAATGAAATGACGCCAAAAGTTCCACAGTGGTCCTCACACAAACAGGCACACATACTCATACACACAAGAGACAGAGAAAAAGGCTGACCCTCGATTGATGCTTTAGGTACATCCAGAGGGAAGGCATGACTGGCAATGGGAGAGATGGGAGATGTCACTGCCACACAAACTCTGGTGAGGGCTATGACACACTTCCAGAATGTCTAAGGGGACTTCCAAGGGAAGCCTGAGACCTGGCAAAGCATGTCCTATCTCTTGAGGAAGCAAGTTACAAACTCCAAGAATCACCTCTGTGGCCGCCTCCCCCTCCTCCCAAACCCACTCTCCAATACCTCCCTCCAGGTTCGCAGGCAGCATAAAGGCTGCCTGGCAATGGCTGTCTAAATCACACACACACACACACACACACACACGTGTGTGTGTGTGTGTGCACTTTTTGACTCCACATTTCAATTTCATTTCTGGGGATTTAATCTTACAAGTGTGTAGACAAGAAGCCCATGAATGAAGCCTTTGAAATAAGCGGAGCTTGGAAACGCAGGAGCCCTTGGTTAGATAAATTGCTGTGTGTCCGTACAATAGGTGGTAGAAAGAAACAAGGACATGCTTTGTGTTCCGTGTCCCTGTGTCGTTGTGTTCTATGACACGCTGAGAAGAAAAAGGGAAAGAAAAAAAGCAAAGAGAGGTGGGTCAGGAGGACGCCTTGCTGTGTCTCTTCCTAAGAGGGAAATCGTGAAGGGTTTGTAAACATCTAAATCTCCTCGTATGTTTGAACTGCAGCTGAACCGACAGAATAGTATTAACCCACTGTTGTGTAGCAGAGATAACTAGGCAGGTTTGGAAGCAGAGTTTTCACTGTGGACTAACGGCAAGATAAATACTGGTTCTTAGAAACTGGCACAAGGCGACCAAGTCACTAGGAAAGTTCTCATGTTTTCTTTTCTCTAGGGGAAGGCTGTGACCTCTTTGAAGATGTGTCACTAACCCCTACCTACAGAGAGCTTCGAGAATGTCCTAACTTCCCCTACAGACCCAACTGCTTGTGGCAAGATCCCCCCTCTCCACTTGTCTTCAGCAAGACAGAGATCTGGGTCCTGGCAGGCCAGGATACAGCCATCAAGCGCTCTTCGAGCCTTTCCCCTCCTGCATGGAGTCTTAAGAAAGCCACGTTTTCAGTTCTCACTCTACAGGCTTCATGATCTTGAGAACCAGTCTTTTCAAAACAATTGGAACCCCATGAAATTTCCTATTACATACCCCATTTGAGCAGACAATCAGGATATTTGTTTATTTTTTTTGTCCTTTGGCAATTTCATATATGCATATAATTTAATGATATGCACCCCCTATACCTATTCATGCAAATCAATGGGTCCTAAAAAATATTTTTTAAGTTGTGAATAATGACTAGACTGAGAGGGTCAGTGGGTGACAGAGAAGAGAGTCAGTGGGTGATAGAGGGTAAGAGAGAGTAGCAGGATATGTGACTTGTGTATGTATGTACATATATATACATATATGTACATATATACACACACATCATATGTATGTATAAAATGACATTGTAAGACCCACTATTTTGTGCATTTAAAATATACTAATAAATATAAACATTTAAAAAACTGGGCTTAGTGACTCGATCCTATGATTCTAGCACTTAGGAGGCTGAGGCAAAAGAACCAACAGGCGTTTAGGGCTATCTTGGGCTACATAGTAAGATGCAGGCTGGCCTATCTCAAAATTACAACACAAACATAAGCCTTTGACAAGGGAATCTAGTAAGAGTCAGACAAAATAACTTCCTAGAACTAAGAACACAGACAAATCATCCATTCCTGCCCTAGTTTTGTTTCTGTTGTTATGACAAAGTATCCTGGGCGAAACAACTTAGGCCTGGAAGGGGTTCGCCTGACTACAGTCCCTTATCGCAGGGAAATCCCGGAGGTGGGCGATACCCCGGAACCGGTGATCACATTCAGGGTGGATCCTCCGCCTTAGCAGCTAAGACAGTTCCCCACCAACATGCCCACAGGCCAACCTGATCTAGGCAGTTCCTCAGTTAATCTTCTCGGGTTACTTAGGTCCTGGGAGGCAGAAAAGGAAAACCTACCCAGCAGGGATGTAAAACCGATCTTCGAGACTGGAATGGAAGTCGTTCTAACAGTGTTTAAGTTTTCATCAGGGCCTTGCCTATGTAGGCAGGAGCTCCATATTGTGTCCCTCACAGCGGGGGTCCTGGAAACATGATTGGGATGACACAGAAGAGCCGGGGTTGGGTAGACTGTGCTCACCCTGACGGAGGGCACCTGCAAGACAACCCCAAAACTCAGTGTGTTTATTATGTACTACACAAAGGGGAGGGGCTAGCTAGTTTCAGTTGGAGGGCTCTGTAGGAGAACAGTCTCCAGCGGTAAACATCCCAGACGAGGGTTGATGCTTTCTGGACACACTGCCAACATTTGTCCTGGGACCAGAGGAAGGTCGCCGTTTCTATGGGGGCCCTTGCTATGGCCATGCTCATGTGGACAATACGTACTCTGAGGACTTCACCCACTCCTCACACTCGGGACCTCCTCCACTCCCTACACATGTAGGCTCTCTTTAGTGTATTTCTTTCATTTTGAGAGAGGACCTTACTGAATTACTCTGGCAGGCCTTGAACTTGAAATCCTCCTACTTCTGCCTCCCATGTACACAGGGTTATAGGCATGTACCACCCAAAGGAAGAAATTGCAATTGATGATGATACCTGTCATCAGGAGAATAGCAAGCCCTTCCCTTCTTTACTAAGGTGCAAGGGAGGAGAATCTCTAGGTCACGTGATGATATATATGCATTAACACCTTGTTCTTGTTCATATTTATGCTCTGTGTAATAGCCAGCGTGTCTCTTGGTTATTTATTTCAAGAAGTCGCTCGGACCAGAATGATGCAGAAGAGAGCATTAAAACCTCTAAGAAGGACTAGAGAAATGACTCCTTGGTTAAGAGCACCGGCTGCTCTCACTGAGGAGTAGGGGTCAGATCCCAGCATCCACATGGTGCCTAGCAAGCATCTGTAACTCTAGTGCCCAGGCATCCAACACCCTTTTTCTGGTCTCCAAGGGTATTGTATGCATGTGGATGATAAACCAACACTCACACACCTAAGATAAAAACAACTGATTTTTAAAACTGTTTAGGAGGGAGACACCAGCATGGCGCTTGACACCAGATTATCTTTATTCGTTTTAGAAATTGTGTGTGTGTGTGTGTGTGTGTGTGTGTGTGTGTATACATATGCATGCGGGTGTATTTGCACACATGCACCTGTGGAGATTAGAAGACAACTCGCAGGGGCCAGTTCCCTCCTTCCACCATTTTGATCCTCGGTGTCAGACTCAGGTTTATTAGCCGGTACTGTTGCCTGCTAAGCCCTCTTGCTGACTTTGATGCACACTCTCTTTCTCTGCCCCCTCTCTCTGCATTGAAATATGTACTTTCCTTTATTATATGTGTTTTACTATATTTTGTTCTTTGAGAATTTCATACATGCATACAATCCTCCCCCAACTTTTCCCAGATTCACTCTCACCTCCTCACCCCTCCCCCACCCCCAAATTTCATGTCCTTTTTTTTTTTAATACCCCACCAAGTCCGGTTTTTGGAATCAGGAATATAAGGCCATCCACTGGAGCATGGCTGACCTACCAAGCACCCCACACGAAGGTTTTTCCTATAAAATAAGCCCGCATTGTGCAGAGTGAAGCCAGGGCCTCCACCAGTCTTCATGAACTTTTATGTGAATTACAAATGCCAACGTGTTCTTTAAATATTGAAAATATAGCGACTGGAACACCCTCCTAACACCTTCTTCTGTTATCGCTTTGTGTAATGAACATCTGAGTTCCTGATGAGGTGACAGTCTCTGGCATTCTGCAGGACAGTCCTGAGTAGGTTTGCAAAGCAGCCAGGCATTTCCCAAGCTGAAGCCCTGTGACCAAACAGCCCCGGGTGTCTCTAACCAGCTCCTAGGCTGGCTCACCACACATCTATAGAGTCAATGGTTCTTCTGAAATGGAGTCAGGTCATTTGTCATCTGCATAGGCACAAGGTTAGCTGTGGATCCCCTCCCCCACATTCTTAGTCCCAGGGGATGAGGCTAAATCAGAAGGAACCTGATGCCCCATTGATGTATGGCTCTGCCATGAAGGAGAAAACTCTAAAGCCAGGCAGTGTGGCAGCCTTCATCCTTAGCCTTCAGGAGACTGTAGTGGGAAAGTCCCAGGCTTCATCAGAATGGGGGAGGGATGAGGAACAGTTTGTGAGACTCTCCTTCACATGAAGGAATCAGTGAGGTGAGGAGTAACCTGATGGCAGCCCATGGCTAAGTGTCTCACTTCCCTTGGTTTGGAGAAAAACAAAAGTATTCAAGCAGGACTTGGTCAGACAGACAGCTTTGCCTGCAGGCCACTCTGTCAGGGGTGTAGAAGGCACAGGGTGTGGCGGTGTCCCTTATATTGAGTGAATGCAGCTGAGTGGGGACGTTCTTGGGAGTTCAGTGGACAAGAAAGACCAGAGGGGGACGTTTTAAAGACAGTAAAAATAGAACACAACGATCCAGTAAGAACCAAGGAGCCAGAATTACTCTGCAGAGGGATTTGGACAAGGGCTTGCAGGAAGTTTCTGAATTTTTACATTGCTCCTTGGAGGGGGTCCAAGAGAAGCCAGAAGGTAGATGCCACCATAGCCTGACTCAGCCCCATCCCTCTGCTTGCCCTTTAAAGGTCTTCTACTTCCAAAGGATGGCACTGCCTAAGAAAGGGAAGCTGCTGCTGTTCCTGGTTTCCCAGATGTTAATTGCTGCACTCTTCTTCCACACGTTGGGACATAGGGGCTTTGTCCAGAACGAAGAAGAGTCCAGGAGGCCCGTGCATGTGCTGGTCCTGTCTTCCTGGCGGTCAGGATCCTCTTTTGTGGGGCAGGTTTTTGGGCAACACCCGGATGTCTTCTACCTGATGGAGCCTGCCTGGCACGTGTGGATGAGTTTCACCAGCAGCACGGCCTGGAAGCTGCAGATGGCTGCGCGGGATCTTCTGCGTTCGGTCTTCCTGTGTGACATGAGTGTCTTCGATGCCTACATGAAGCCAGGCCCCCGAAAACAGTCCAGCCTCTTCCAGTGGGAGCAAAGCCGGGCCCTGTGCTCGTCACCTGTCTGTGACTTCTTCTCTAGTGACCAGATCAGCTCGCCTGAGCCTTGTAAGCGCCTCTGTTCTCAGCAGCCCTTTGATATGGTGGAGAAGGCCTGCGGCTCTCACAGTCACGTGGTACTCAAGGAGGTGCGCTTCTTCAACCTGCAGGCACTTTACCCACTTCTCACAGACCCTTCTCTCAACCTGCACATCGTACACCTGATCCGAGACCCCCGGGCTGTGTTCCGATCTCGGGAACACACCAGAGGGGACCTCATGATTGATAGTCACATTGTGCTGGGGGACCATTTGAAAGCGATCAAGGAGGAAGACCACCCCTATTATACCATGCAGATCATCTGCAAAAGTCACGTGGACATAATCAAGGCCATCCAAGCCCTGCCTGAGGCTCTACAGCAACGCTTCCTGCTCCTGAGGTACGAGGACCTGGTTCGGGCACCGTTGGCCCAGACCTCCAGGCTATACAATTTTGTGGGGTTGAAATTCTTACCCCATCTCCAAACCTGGGTTCACAACGTCACCCGTGGCAAAAGTATGAGTCAGCCTTCCTTTGCCACTAACGCCAGAAATGCCCTGAACATCTCCCAGGCATGGCGTTGGTCATTGCCTTATGAAAAGGTTTCTCGACTTCAAGATGTCTGTAGTGAGGCTATGGATTTGCTGGGCTACCTCCCAGCCAGATCCAAACAAGAGCAAGGCGACCTGTTACTGGATCTTTTGTCTTCTCCGAACACCTTGGGGCCACTCTAGTGAGAAGGCTTAGGAGACCTGTCTGTACCAGTTGGGTCCAGCCTCAGCCACCACAAAATGATCCCAGGCCTGAACAGTGTCATGAGATAAGCAAGCTGAGCATCAGCTGTGCCTCCACAGGCCCAAGCAGAAGCCTTTGTGTCTATACTGAGATACACGCTACATCTGAGCCTAAAGTCAAGAATCTCCTTCTGTCTTTGAAAGACTCAGGGACCTTGAGCAGCCCCTCCAGCCCACCAAGCAAGACTGCCGTCTCTCTTCTCTCCTTGACCCTCCCACCCATGCATACCTCAGAGACTATGGCCTGCAGGCCTACTAGACACACCAAGCAGCACCCTTGGAACAAGTCCATAAACCTCCTGTTCACATCTTCCCAACGAGAAGAGGAAGAACAAAAACCAGGGAAATGGGGCTTTCACCAAAGAACTCCCAGCAACTTCCACAGAGACCCTCAGATTCAAGGCAGCAGGCACAGGGGTGGTTGCTTACCTGTGAGTCTGCCTATAGCACTGCCAGTTACCACAAACAGGCAGCAAACACCTTGCCCAATAGGACCAGCACTCATGTTCACAGTGCAAATGGTCTGGATGGCATCTCTCTCCAGTGTTTATCAGTGTTTATCTGTGAAACTGCTCTCCGATAATATGAAAATTATAAACCAAGCTTCTGTTTTGAATTCCTCTTGTATGTTTTCTGACTACCAGTAGACAATCTTCATTCTCATGGGATTCTAACAATGGGCATAATCATCTTTGTAGAGTTTTTTTTTTATTGTCTTTTGCTATTGTCTAACGCATAAAAAAATCACTACCACTTTTGGATAAATCGAGCCTCTGTTGTCTTAAGCATTGGTGGAAGGTAGCTGCATTAGCTGGTTGTCTGTTGCTGCAATAGAACACCACTGCAGAAAGCAACTTTGGGGAGAAGGGGTTTATTTGGTTTATAATCCCAGTGGGGTACGGTTCATCACAGTGGGTAAGGTATGGTAGCAGGGGTGTGAGGCTAGCAGGTCATATTTCACCCACACACAGGAAGCAGAGAGAAAGAACAGGAAGTTGAGCCAGGCTGTACAACCTGAAAACCCACCCCCCAGTGACACACTTCCTCCAGCAAGGCTCCACGTGGAAATTCTGTAATTTCTCCAAACAGCACCTCCTAGGGATCAAGCGATGAACAACATGAGCCCATGTGGGACATTGTATACTCAAATACAACAGCTGCAGTCAGTAACTCACCCCTTCCCTGTGACATACGTGTAACAACGTGTGTATCACCCTGGGAGCTCTGCACATAATTCTTTGACTCTAATTCCTCAGCCAGAAGACCTCAGTTCTAGTGTCTCTCCGTCGGTTTCTAACAGTCATCTCCCCTAGTAAGGAAAGTTGTTTCTCCCAGCCTTTGCAGATGTCCCCAGATCCTGCTGTGCTTTAGGACCACTGTGTACAAATGCACACTGCCAGGTGCTTCCTCGAGTCTGGTGGGATCAGAGCCTCTCAGTGTGGGATTCTAGATGCTCATTGCACCACCTTGCTGGCTCTCCAGGCCCTACTGACTTCTCCTGGCACAAGGCACCCCCAATGTTAGACAGCAATGAAATTCACCTCCTGGTCCCAAGACATGCTGAACACATGTCTTTGCCACTGGGGTAAAAAGAACAAGGCATGATATCTATAGAAAGTGCTGGAGAGATGGCTCAGAGTATAAACTGCTCTTGGAGAGGACCTGAGCTCAGTTCCTGGCACCTATGTTGTGTGGCTCACAATCTCTTGTAAGTGCAGTTTGAGGTTTTGACTCTCTTTTCTGACAGCCTTGCAAGCATTGCACATACACACACACATACACACACACACACACACACACACACACACAAAGAGAGGGGGTCTGGAATTTTATGAGCCTCTGAGCTCTGAATGGTTGGTTTTTTTAATAACTCATTGAGTCCAAACCTGACAGAATCTGCCATTTTGCCTTTTCCTTTGATTCGTCAATGTTTCTCACTTCATCAAGTCAGAGTTCTCCCCCACCGTTCTTCTGAGCATCAACAGAACGCCCCATCATCTGTGATACTTGAGGAACTGCTGCCTTTGTTAGCAGGGTTGGTTGGTGTTAATGTCTATGCTGCTTCAAAGGAGCAAATTTACTCTAACATTCAAATCCAAGTAACTTCCAGAACTCCTCAAGAGCTTAGGACCTGGGGCTTAGTTGGTAAATTTCTTGCCACATATGCATAAGGGTGTTGTAGGAGCCAGCTTGTTTCGTTCCTGGTTGCCCAGACTAGAAATAACCACACAGAAACTGTATTAATTAAATCACTGCTTGGCCTATTAACTCTAGCTTCTTATTGGCTAGCTCTTACATCTTAATTTAACCCATTTCTATTAATCTGTGTAGAGCCATGTGGCTGTGGCTTACCGGTAAAGTTCCATCTGGCATCTGTCTCTGGTAAGGGCTACATGGCTTCTCCCTGACTCCACCTTTTTTTTCTCCCAGCATTCAGTTTTAGTTTTCCCCCACCTAGCTCTACTCTACCCTATCACAGGCCAAAGCAGTTTCTTTATTCATTAACCAATAAAAACAACATATATACAGAAGGACTTCCCACACCACAAGGACCTGAGCTCACCAGCTCAAAACCCATGGTAAAACACTGGGCATCTATACTCACAGTGTTGCTGTGCAGAGGGGAAGTGTAGATTTCTGAAGCTCATTGGCCATCTAACCTGACCAAAAGTATGAGCTCCAGGCTTATTTAGAGACCTCATCTCAAAATTAGAGACCTCTCTCATCTCCAAAAATAAAGCACAGGGGCTGGAGAGATGGCTCAATGATTAGAAGAACTAGCTACTCTTTCAGAGGTCCTGGATTCAATTCCTAGCACCCACACAATGGCCCACAACCAGTCTCAAGGGATCAAATACCCTCCTCCTCTGGCCTCCAAGACATGCATGTGGTACACAAACATATGTGCAGGCGAAACACCTATATGCCTAATATATAAATTCATTAAAAATAAGGTGGAAAGCAATAGGGGACTTCAACTAGAATTTAATGGCATTTCTTTCTATAATTCCTGTGTGGTTTTACCTTGTATATAATGACAGCAATTGCTAACATTTTAACAAAGTTTAATTAAAACTTGTGAATAGTGGCTATATAACGGTAGAATCAGCTTATGGTGATTTTTATACAGAATCTGACTTGGTGTTAATCTGTAATATTTTTTCAAGTTACAGCTTACAATTTACTATATGATTGTTTACGCCTAGTCCTAAACATAATCTCTGCATGTATATTATCATAATTCTATTGAATTACTTTTATAGACTGAGAAAGTAAAATTTGTTAAATGAGCATGTATGAGTGACATGGGCCACTTAGCAATAAATCTGACAGGCATTACTCAGGAGAGTCCAGTGCACTGACTCTCCTGCTGGCAGAGAGGCCCAGGATTGTAACCCTTCTCACAAATGTCTCTGGCCCTCCATAGTACTGCAGAGAAGTAGCTCCCAATAGCCTGAGCCTGGCTGTCACATTCTGCTAACTCTGTCTTCATTCATTCATTCTATTCATGTAACAAGCAATACCATATGCCGAGGGATACCCTGGGCATTGCTGCTGAGAGCTTGTGGGGACAAACAGTAGCCGGGTCAGTGTTAGTGCAGGGCACGTGGTCAGGGAATGAGGAGGGTGCAGAAGTCTAAGGGTCATTCGAGGGAGAGTCTTCCTGGAAATAGGGAGGGGCATGCCATGCAGAGATCTGGGAACAGACACCCTGACAACATCCTGGCAAATGCCCAAGCCAGCATAGACAATACCAAAAAGCATCTCTGAGAGCTATGATGCTTTCAGTAATGATGAGCTCATGCAAGGTAAAGAAGTACAAGCGTGGCAGGAAGGTCAATAAACCCGTGAAACTGTACTGCCCGGTGGCTCTGCCGCTGCCAGCGGGGTTTCCTTGTGTCACCGTGCACAGGGCAGGCAGCATTAACTGCATCACTGCTCACACAGGCCGTCCTTACTGAGCTCTCACAGTGTTGGTGTCCACGAGACTGGCACAGTACAGACAGCTCGAATAATAATGGGCCCTTGCTGAGCCAGGCTAATTGCCATATCAGCATCCCCTCCAATCATGGTTCCCTGGGTTTTATACAACAGTGGCTCACAACAAGAAGTGTTTTAGCATTATTTGATTGGCATACCGTGATTGCACATTTTTCTCTGGGGGATTTGGAGCTGTCACACTTAAGTTGGGCTGCTGCGGGCATCAGTGGGGCACAGGCAGCAGTGCACAGGGAAGCTTTCCAGAGTAGAGAATCATCTGGTCCAAAGGAACGTGCAGCCACGGAGAAACCCTCCTCCACGTGGGTTTCTCTTGATCTTTTCGCTCCTGTCCAGATGAATGAGCTGCCAACCTGCATGTCTAGACTGAAGACAGGCCAGACCCAAGGCTTCCAGCCTTTCCTAGTCACCTCAGTAGAGTGGCAGGGTAGGTCAGGAGAGGACAAGTCGGATTCCTTCTGGACTCTGGTTCCTGGCAAGTTAATCATGTTCTATTTGAGGACTTCATGTCAATGAACCTTTGGGTATCATTAATTTGGGACTAAGTGAGTTATTAAAAAGATAAAACGAAGCTGGGAATGGTGGTGCATACTTTTAATCCCAGCACTTGGGAGGCAGAGGCAAGTGGATCTCTGAGTTTGCTACAGAGTTCCAAGACAACCAGAGCTACACAGCAAAACCCTATCTTGGGGGGAAAAAAAGGAAGGAAGGAAGGAAAGAAGGTGGAGACAAGGAATTAGGGATTAGGGGATGAATATGATCAAAATATGTTGTTCGTATGTATGGAATTCTCAAAGGATCATTTTTCTGCATTTAAAGTACAGAGCTGTATCGTGAGAGGTGAGGAGAAAGAAGTTTAAGACAGAGGTACAGGCAGACTGCCTGGGAACCTCCATTCACAGGTAGTGGCCCTGCAGCTTGTGCCTTTAGTAATTCAGGCAGCTGAGACCAGAAGAGGAAACACCTTAGAGGCCACAACACCGTCATTTAGAGCATTGAGTAAAACCAGCAGGACCGATGAAGGCGGAAGCAGGTGGGCCAGGAAAACCATCAGACTTGCTGAGGACACGGGACTCAGGCCTGGGTGTCAGAGGACTCTCGGGGCTCACAGGACCTGGGCTTCTACTCCTGTGTTTCTGTTTGGTTTATTCCCGCTGTCACCCCCTTTACTGGCATTCTCAGCACCCTGCAACAGTTTGACTTTTTAAAAATTATTTCCTTATTTACTTGCGTGCACATGGCTGTGTGGGCAGACAGATGAGTGGGCGTGGGCGCACACACGCCACCAAACGCATGTGGAAGTTGGAAGGCAACTTGTGGGGGAGTCATTTGGTTCTCTCCTTCCACCACGTGGACCCTAGGGATGGATTGCCAGGTGTGACGGCAAGCCCCCTTATTTGCTGAGCCATCTTGCTGGCCCATGAGCAATGTTTTAAGCATCTTAAACCAACTTCTTAAACTGAACCTCATCCCCCACGAAATGCTTGTATCTCAGACTCATGTATCTGTCTGGAGGACACAAGCTACTGCCATTTCTAAGTTTCCTGCTCCCTTCCTAGAACCCATTTCCATTCCCTTGGCTGTGACAGCACCACGGACACCACGGACAGTGTATGCTTTCTCCTCTGCCCTTAATCCTGTCTGGATCCCTCCCTGCCCCTCTCTTTCTCTTTCATTTGTCGTCGGCCAAAACGGTATTCCCTAGTCAACAGCGACCAACGGTGATGAGATAAGCCCACAAATGAGAGCAATTTGATTTTTTATTAATTC